CTGTTCAAATGGTGTGGAAATGCAGCAGAAATGGAGCAGGCAAACATGGGGTTAAAATGCAGTGCAGAAGAAGGGAGTGGTTAGACAAGAAGAGCCCAGATGGAATTGTGGGATTTGATTGGAGGACTAACCGCGCTCAGGTTTGATTATCCTGCATTCTCACTGTAAAGTAGGCAGATTGCCAGGCTGAAGTGAAGCCCAAGCTAAAGCCATGCCAGCTAATCTGTCTTAAAGCACTGTCAAAACTGGGTTAGAGGTTTTTCTGTGTGGACAGAAGAGGACTTGGGTCAACACCCAAGTTATAGGTAGGGCCCTACCAAATTCACAGTTCAATTTCACAGTCATAGGATTTTAAAAATCATAAATTTCATGATTTCAGCTATTTAAATCTGAAATTTCACAGTGTTGTAATTGTAGGGGTCCTGACCCAAAAAGGAGTTGTGTGGGGGTGGGGGAGCAAGATTATTATAGGAGGGGTTGTGTTACTGCTACCCTTACTTCTGCAAATGCTTCTGCAGCAGTGCTGCCTTCAGAGCTGGGCAGCTGGAAAGCCGTGGACGCTGTCCAGGAACCCAGCTCTGAAGGCAGAGCCACAGCCACCAACAGTGCAGAAGTAAGGATGGCATAATATAGTATGGCCACCCTTACTTCTGCACTGCTGCCTGCAGAGCTGGGCCCTCAGTCAGCAGCCACTGCTCTCTGGCTGCCCAGCTCTGCAGGCAGTGCAGAAGTAAAGGGGGCAATACTGCAACCCCCCTAAAATAGCCTTGTGACCCCCCTGCAACTCCTTTTTGGGTCAGGACCCACAACTTGAGAAACGCTGGTCTCCCCTATGAAATCTGTATCGTATAGGGTAAAAACACACAAAAGACCAGATTTGACAGGGGGAGACCAGATTTCATGGTCCGTGATGTGTTTTTCTTGGCTATGAATTTGGTAGGGCCCTCGTTATAGTCTAGACTAACTCCGCAAAACTAACTCCGTGAAAACATACTCTAGCAGATAGACCTTGCAAAGGAATTTAGAGAAATATACTCCGAGCCATGTGAAGGAGGAAGAGGACAGCAGAAGCCAACCACAAATTTAAGTACTGCTTAATAAAAACAAACATATAAGAAAACAAGAGGCAACTGAAAAAGATTCACTGGTTTATGCTCACCAAATATGATGCGACTTAAGACATCACTTCACTCATTACCGACCTTTGATCAACAGTTAAAGATTGAAGGATTCATTAGATTCACACGAAAGAAAAAGGCTAACAAGCGGGGCATGCTTGATAACTCAGCTGTTAATAGCCACTGCATTTTTGTTTTAATTTAGTAACATCATGCTTTTTGGGGGTCTAGAGATTATATGGTTTGCCTTTTACATTTGTTAGCATAGATGCCAGTTACATTTTCTGAGGATGAATCATCTCAATTTTAAAATAATAAATTATTAATAAATTAATAACTATAGCTGCAAAGATAATCTTCACTACAGATTCAGACCACAGTGAAGATTTTTATGTGCTATTTTTTGTGCTGAAGTCAGGTATCTTTTCACCTGACCATTTCATGATAGGCTCACTGGGGCCTAGACTCTAATGCAAGATCTGTAGACTCTTTTTGCTGGGCTCAGTGAGTCAATAAAAAAGGGAAATTACTTGGCTGTGTACCTTGCTCATAAAAGGGCTGAAGTGCGGGAGTCTTGGACAAAGGAAGACAACACTGATTTCAGTAGGAATTTCACCTATGTATCTGAGAGGAGACTTTGGGTAACTGGACATGGAACAGAAGGAATAGGCATCTGAATAGGAAAAAACAGGAGCAGTCCCCTGGCAACGAATTCCACAGATTGACTGTATCTTGTGTAAAGAAGTATTTCCTTATGTTAGTTTTAAACTGGCTGCCTACTAATTTCACTGGGTGACCTCTAGGTCACGTGTTACGTGAGGGGGTAAATAACACTTCCTTATTCACTTTCTCTATACCATTCATGTCATATGCCCCCTCAGTTGTTGCTTTTCTCAGATGAACAGTCCCAGTCTTTTTAATTTCTCCTCATAGGGAAGCTGTTCCATACCCCTAATTATTTTTGTAGCCTTTCTCAGTACTTTTTCAAATTCTAATACATCTTTTCTGAGATGGGACGACCAAACTGGACACAGTATACAAGGTAGGGACGTACGATGTACTTAGATAGTGACATTATGGTATTTTCTGTCTTATTATCTATCCTTTCCTAATGGTTCCTAACATACTGTTAGCTTTTTTGGCTGCTGCTACACATTGAGTGGATGTTTTCAGAGAACTATCTACAAGGACTCCAAGGTCTCTTTCTTGAGTAGTAACAGCTAAGTTGGATCATATGGCGTCACTTCCCCTCCAGCGTGATCTACGCTGGTATTCTTATATATTTTGTACTCTGGTATTACTGTGTCCAATTTATTACCATGATTCCGCCAAGTTTCTGAGATGCCCATTATATCAATGCCCTAATTCAATACCAGGCACTCAAGTTCACCCATCTTAGACTTCTTGCATTTGTATTCAAGCACTTGTGAAATTTGTCAATATTTAGCTGTCTGCCTTCATGTGATGTAATTGAATGGGACTCTCTTTTGTTTATCTGTTTCTCTTCAATTCCTACATGTACTTTATCAACTTCTATCCTCTCCTCTTTAATAGGATATAGAGTATCCCCATTAATAAATCCTCCCCTAAGGGACGTGTCTGTTTGAACTATGTGGTCCTCCACACCTGTCAGCTTTCTCCCTGCCCTTAGTATACAAACTCCTCTATGGCCTTTTTAATTTTGCATGCCAGTGGTCAAGCTCCATTTTGATTTAGGTGGAGCCCATACTTCCTGTATAGATTCCTCCTTTCCCAAATTGTTCCCTGGCTCGTAATAAACCTAAATCCCTTCTCCGAACACCATTATCTCATCCACTCATGGAGACTCTGAAGTTCTGCCTGTCTAATTGGCCACGTGTGTGGAGCTGGAAGCATTTCAGAGAATACTACCTTGGAGGTCCTGGATTTTAATCTTTCTTAGAAGCCTAAATTTGGCCTCCAGGACCTCTCTTCTACCTCTCTCTAAGTCACTGGTACTTAGATGTGCCACAACCATAAGCTTCTCCTCAATACTGTGCATAAGTCTATCTAGATATTTTGAGAGGTCAGCAATGTTTGCACTCATCAGGCAATTCACCATGCAATTCTCCCAGTCATCACAAACACAATTATCTGTATTTCTAATCACTGAATCCCCATTACTATTATCTGCCTTTTCCTAATAACTGAGATTCCCTCCTAGGGGGGCACTGTCAGTGTAAGAGAATACCATGACATCATCTGGAAGTACAGACTAACACGGCTACCACTCTGAAACCTGCAACTATGAGATTGTTTCCCTGTGCTCCAGCTTGATGTTCTCCTTCCCCAAGATTTTCACCTTCTCAACAGCACAGAGGCTGGCAAACTGGGCGTGGGACTGCTCTACTGTGTCCCAGAACATTGTCTCTATGTACCTCTGTCTCTCTTATCTCCTCCAGTTCAGTCACTCTAGTCTCAAGAGTCTGCACTCAGTTTCTGACGGCCATGAGCTCCTTGCACCAAATGCACATACAGTGGTGGATCAGCCACTGGGCCAATGGGATCCGCGCCAGGAGCCTGGGCCAATTAGGGTACCTCTGTGCCCCAAACCCACTCTTCCCACCGGGCGCTCCTGCTGGGGAGCAGGATCGGGGTGCAGTGACTTGCCCCGCTCTGCCAGCCTGGGGCTCCTGCTGGGGAGCAGGGGAAGGCCCCGCGTCGCAACAGTGCTCCAGGGCAGAACTGGCAGGAGCGGGGAGAGGGTGGGACAAGTCCCCGTGCCCCAACCCCATTTCCCTGGCAGGAGAGCCGGGGAGAGAGGAGGACTTCAGGTTGGAAGGGTTGGGGAGGGCCCCCCACTTGCTCTGGCCCAAGGTTCCACAAACCCCTAATCTGCCTCTGTGCACACATATGCCATCTGCCCACAAGGCAGGCAAACATACATGCTGCATTCAGTGCAATAAACTGGACAGCCCCCACTCTGCTGTCAGTATTCAGGTATACATCATCAAAACATTCAGGGACAAAAACGCCAAATATATTTTTCATCTGTCTATGTTCTGTCTACAGAATTGTACCCTATGTATGCACAATTTACTACCAAAAAGATATTAAGTCTTTATAGTTAAGGGGGAAAAGAACTAAATCAAAGCAAAACAGTATAAAATTAGTTGTGTAAAAGCTTTTACTTCTGACTGCAAAGGGTTGATTCTGAAAAAAAATATATTAATAGTAAATTAGTAATAGTAAAATAGTAAATAGTACAATTTGTAATTAATAGTAAATCTTTATTTTAAAGATTACATATTAGGTTGTTTTATTATCAACTTGATATAATATTTTGAAAGGAAAACATGAAACTTTTAAATTTAGTGTAATTGTTAAAACAAGTATTTTATAAAGACACAAACACTCTAGTACATACATAAAGCTGTAATAACAGTCATTTCTAGGTGTGGATTTTTGGCTTATGCCGCATTATACTTCTGAAAAATGCCATTATTACAATATAAAGCAGGCCATGTCATGTGTTACTGCTTACTTATTTTAATAAGACTTTTTATAAGAAACACTCATTTTCCCCCCTAGGAACTTTACACTGTAAATTTGGTCCTAGTATTTTATAATAGAAATTACTATAATTTATGGTACTTTTTCAACCTGCTCACCATTGGCAACTCAACACCGGAGACCTCAAGGCAACCTTGTCATTAACAAAGCTTCAAAGTTCTTTTTCTTTTTAATTATGGTAACTTTGAACAGGTTATATTATAACACTGAGGTACATACTCTTTGCCACAATGGATGCACTTTGTTGAAACTGAAATCCACAAATAAAATGTCACTAGTACATATTTACCTTTTATTTTTCCTATCAGTTTCTAGCCCTTGGGGGTTGATAAAACTGTTGAGTTGGTCGTGTGGACCGCCTTGGCTGACCATCACCTCCTCTGCGGAACTCTAGAGTTTGTTCATAACCATCTTCCTCCTCCTCCTGCAGGTAAACAGCATTGTTTTAAACGTAGAAAGTAAATGAATGCATTATATATGAATAGAAACTGCTGCTTCTATGCAGATAATCACTCAGGAAACTACCATGACATGGAAACTGCCATAATGGATGACTATTTCAATTCTTTCAATTTTTTTCAAAACTGGGAAATCAAATAGTAAAATATTGAAAAGTTTCAAAACTAGATCTCAGAAACAGCAGGAAAAGGTTAAAGGGACTTGCAGCAGAGACATACATGTATAAAAGTACAATTATTTACCAAAAGTCATACAAGCAACATAATCAAAGAAGCAAGATATTTTTACCAAAACCAGTGAAAGCTGGAGAAACTGGCCCTGGAGAGATTAGAAACATGGGGGGAATGCAACAAAGAGAAATTCAACATGGAAAAATGCAAACGAAGAAATCTGGGGAGAAATGTTCAGAAATACAGATCTGAAACAAGAGGTATATATCCATAAAGGAGTAATGCTGAAAAGGCCAACAAGCAACAGTGAACAGCAAATTAGATATGAATTTTCAATGTGCAGTGGTAATAAAAATAGCCTCTGTATATTTAGAGGCACCAGGTAATGGTGTAGAGAAGCAATTACACATCTAGTATATTGCATTCTGTCCTGGGCACCTCAAAACAAGAGAGATATTGACAAATTACAGCGAGTTCACAAAAGAGCAACAAAAATAATTAGGGGGCTGGAAAGATTGATTTATGAAAGAAGATGAAATGAGCTAAATATATAGCTTCTCTAAAATGTTTTGAGGTGCAAAATATTAGCTGTCTACAAAACTTAAAGGGTGTATACATTAAGAATGGGGAAGAATTATTTTGAGTGGCACAAGAGGATATAAAAACAGTTACCTACATTTTCATGACTGTTGTTTTTCAAGATGTGTTGCTCATGTCCATTCCATTCTAGGTGCGTGTGCCCCCATGTACACAGTTGTCGGAGATTTTTGCCTTAGCGGTATCCATAGGGTGAGCTGTTTTGCTCTATTGAGTGCCACACTCATGTATTGGTATATTAGGCACTGCTGACCCTACGACCTCTCAGTTCCTTCTTGCTGGCAACTCCGACAGAGGGGTAGGAGGGCGGGTAATGGTCGAAGAACAACAGTTAAACGAAAAGGCAGGTAATCATTTTATCTTCTTCGTGTGCTTGCTCATGTCGATTCCATTCTAGGTGACTCACAAGCAGTATCCTCACAGGGGGGCTCAGAGTTCACAGTCTAGCGGCTTGCAGTACTGCTCTACCGAAGCCAGCATCATCCTTGGCCTGCTGGGTAAGTGCATAATGGGAGGTGAATATGTGGACGGACATGGTAGGTGGCTCTGGTAGAGGGTTTTCTGAGTAGAGTCGAGGACCGGTCCAACGAAATCTATGTGTTGTAGAGGCATTATGGTGTATTTTTTCTCGTTTATCAATAGCCCCAGATCACGACAGGTGGAGCAAACGAGATCGAGATGCCGCTGCACCTGATCCCGGGACCAGCCCTTTATTAGCCAATCATCAAGGTATGGATACATTTGCACCACTTGGTGCCTCAGGTAAGTGGCCACTGGTGCTATGCACTTTGTAAACACTTTTGGGGCTGACGAGAGACCAAAGTGCAGCGCCTTATTTGAAAATGGCAGTGGCCCAACACAAAATGGAGGAAACGCATGTGCCCCTGGAAAATAGAAATAGGTGTCATTCAAGTCAAGGGCAGCATACCAGTCTCCTGGATCCAGGGAGCGAATAATGGAGGCCAGCGAGACCATGCAAAACCTGAGAGACTTGTTGAGGTGGCCCAGGTCAAGAATGGGTCTGAGGCTCCCTTTTGCTTTTGGGATTAGGAAATAACGGAGCATAATCCTTTTCCCCTCAAGTGTGGAAAGACCTCCCTCTACCGCCCCTAGGCATAGGAGGCTCTCCACTTCCTGAACAGGAGTTGCTCGTGAGAAGGGTCCCTGAAGAGGGACGGGGAAGGGAGGTGGGAGGGAGGGTTGGTCACAAATTGCAGGGTGTAGCCTGAAAATATTATGTTGAGCGTCCAACTGTTCAAGGTCAACCGCGACCAGGCTGACCGGAAGGGCAGCAGTGGTTGAGGAAAGAACAGGGAGGTGGATCCTGGGAAGTGACTGGGGCACCGTCCGAGTGCACATCCTCAAAACACCTGCTTTTGGCTTCCTTGGCCTGTGGAAGAACAAGGTTGGAAGGAGGAACAGGAAGACAAACGGTCACGCCATTTAAATCCTTTGTCTCTGACCTTCTTTCTGTAGGATTTGGACCGGGGGACACCCCGGGGCCTCAATGGAGGTGAAGGCGGCAGTGGTTAGAACGGCTGGGGGGTTTCAAGGCCCAAGGAATGAAGGGTTGCACAGGAGTCTTTAAGGCCATGGAGCCATGCATCAGTCAGCTCCCAAAAGAGCCCTGCTCCCTCAAGCGGAAAAATCGTCTGCATCTCCTGGGAGCCCAGAGGATTGTACCCAGGAGCTGCACCTCATGATCACCATGAAGGGGACTATTCTGGCAACTGAGTCCGTAACATCCCAGACCATCTGGAGGACATGTCTTGCCACCAACGTGGCGAACTCCTGGGCACGGTCTTCTGGGAAAGTCCTCCTTGAACTTGCTGATGGAGTCCTACAGGTTGAAGTTGTACCTGCCTAGCAGGGCCTGATGGTTAGACACCCCAAATTGCAGGCTGGCTGTCGAATAAATTTTCCTGCCAAACAAGTCCAGCCTGTTGGCGTCTATTTTTTGGTATGCCACTCGCCTGGGCCTTTCATTGATGGTGGAAATGACCAGGGATCCCGCTGGATGGTGGGTGACAGGTACTCAAATCCCTTTGTGGGGACAAAGTACTTCTTTTCCACCTTCTTGGAGGTAGGCGGAATGGAAGAGGGGGTCTGCTACACAGACTTGGAAATTTTAAGGACCCCTGGGTGAATGGGCAACATGACTTCTCCGCTAGCTCCTCTGCCTCTAAGTTAAGGTTGGCAGCCACCCTTTTGAGCAAGGTGCTCCTTGAAGTCATTGGGGGGAGGGGACTGCTTGTTTGCGAGGGGCTCACCACTGCTTTGTCCGGAGACGACAAAGATGAATGCACAGCAGGGGGAGGGGCTGCTCCTTGGGTGTTGGGGCCTGCTATGTCGCCCTGGTGTCGGATTCAGTACCATGCTCTGACTTAGGTGCTCGCTGTGCCAGACGCAACTTGTCTGATGCGGCCTGGGAGAAACCATGGGAGTACGGGACCGACATAATAGGTACACACCATGGGTGCCAGGACTGCCACTGAGCAGGCCATTGCCCTACCTCCACCACCGCAGGAGTCATGCCAGTCTCGCAGGCTGGTGACGACTCACCTTTTACAGGCGAGGGGTCGGACGCAGGTCTCTAGCTGGACTAGGGATCCCACTGCAGCAGTACCCACACAGGTCCTTTGCCTGAAGCTCCGTTTTTCTGTCATGGCAGAGGGCCCAGGAACTCCAACTGCTTCTTGGGCACCGGGAAGGGGGAATGATGCCGGGTGGGTTCTGGTGCTGGTGAGGCAGTGCATGCTGATGCCGAGGTGCCGGGCATGGAGTCCGATCGAGAGGGCGCCAAGGTACGACGAAGCACAGCCTCCATGAGAAGGACCCTCAAGCAAATATCCCGCTCCTTCTGAGTTTGAGGGCGAAAGTTTTTGCAGATCCTGCACTTATCCTTTCTGTGGGACTCCCCCAAACACTTTAAACAGCTCTCGTGGGGGTTACTAATGGGCATCAGCTTAAATGAACATGGCTTAAACCCTGGGGAATGGAGCATGCCCTGCTCTGAGGTGAAGTCCCAGCTGACACTCTAACTCCTAAGCTACTACTTTAACACTTAATTTAAAGATCTAACTAAGTACCTATCAACTAATAACAAAGGAGACAGACCAATGGACTGTAAGAACTGTTAACACTCTTGCGATGCATGACAAGGTGCTCTGACCAACCGTCATGAGCGGTAAGAAGGAACTGAGAGGGCATAGGGTCAGCAACGCCTATTATACCAACGCTTTAGTGTGGAACTCAAGAGGGCATAACAGCCAACCCTACAGATACTGCTAAGATAAAAAAAAAACTGACAACTTTTCACGTGGGCATGCACACACCTAGAATGGAATTGACATGAGCAACAACAAAGGGAAAATTAAGGTTTATCAGGGGAAAAAATCCTGACCACGGTGAATAATGAAGAAGACCGGTCACTGATTCAGAATGATCTGAATTGCTTGGTAAACTGGGTGCAAGCAAACAATATGTGCTTTAATACAGCTAAATGTATACATTTAGGAAGAAAGAATGTAAAGCCACACTTGCAGGATGGGGAACTCTCTATCCTGGGAAGCAGTGACTCTGAAAAAGATTTGGGGGTCATCATGGATAATCAGCTGAACATGAGCTCTCAGTGTGATGCTGTGGCCAAAAGAGCTAATGTGATCATGGGATGCATAAATAAGGGAATCTTGAGTAGGAGTTGAGAGATTATTTTACCTCTGAATTTGGCACTAGTGTGACCCCTGCAGGAATAGTGTGTCCAGTTCTGGTATCCACAATAAAATTGGAAAGGATTTAGAGAACAGCCATGCGCATCATTAAAGGATTAGAAAACAAGTTTTACAGTGATGGACTCAAAGAGCTTAATCTATTTAGTTTAACAAAGAGAAGTTTAAGAGGTGACTTGATTACAATCTGTAGGTAACTACACGGGGAACAAATATTTAACAACGGTCTCTTTAATCTAGCAGAGGAAGGTATAACGTGATCCAATGTCTGGAAGTTGAAGCTAGACAAATTAAGACTAAAAATTAGTATATTTTAACTATCAAGGTAATATAATCATTGGAATAATTTACCAAGGGTTGTGGTGGATTCTCCATCACTGACAATTTTTAAATCAGGACTTGGATGTTCTTCTAAAAGATTTGCTCCAGGCATTATTTGGGGGAAGTTCTAAGGCCTATCTTATACAGGA